GCTGGCGTACTGGGGCTGGTCGTCGCGGCGTCGGTCGTGCTGCGGCGCAGGAGACTGGCGTCGGGGCGGCGCGACATAGGCGCGAGGAGGAGGCGGTGGCCGTAGGGCAACTGCGGCGTAGGTCACGGTGGGCTCCTCGGGTGCAGCTACGTTGGCAGGAGCCTCCAGTTGAATTGCCCGCTGAACCTCGTCGCGGACAACTTCGGCTATTGACACCGAAGCCGGCTGGTGGGTAGCAGGCAGGAGCTTCTTAATTTCCTCCCGGACGACGTCCCGGATGATCTCGCGAATGCTGGAGATGCTGGAGCCAAGGTCGCAAGCGGACGGCGGAACCGCGCTGACGCCGGGTAGCCTCTGGTAGTGGCTGGCTCGGGCTTGCATTGCACGCTCAATGTTCGTCGCCTCGGTTACAAATTCTTGAATCGTCGTCGGTGGGTTGCGTACGAGGCCACCGAAAATGTCGTCCTTCACGCCGCGCATCAGGATACGCAGCTTCTTTTCCTCGGTGGACTGAGGGTCGGCGCGGCTGCTCAGGAGGAGGACGTCTTCAACGAAGCTGGTTACCGTTACGTTGGGCCCTTGAGTTCGTACTTGAAGGAGGTCTTCCGCTCGCTGTCGTCGTGTCTGGTTCGTGAATGTCTCCTTCAGGCCAGCGATACAGGTGTCCCACGACGTAAGCGAGGCCTCGTGGTTCTCGAACCACTGCCTCGCGGTACCCTCCAAGGAGAAGTAGAGGTTTTGGAGGCGCTGCTCAGTGGTCCATCCATTATGGCGTGCTACACGTTCGTAGTGCAGGAGCCAGTCCTCTACGTCTTCGTGGGTCTCGCCATGGAAGGTCGTCGGGGTTCGCTGGGCAACAGGCAGGTAAACGACGGCGGCGGCGGTCGGGGACTGCGATTGCTGGTCGTCCATCGTCGGCCTCGTAGGCTGCCTGGTCCTGGGTGGCAGAAGTCCGTATTCCGGGCGTAGACCTTGGGTTCGGCGACTGGTCCGAGTTGCATGTTCCGCGTTGAGTGGTCTTGTCACAGGGCTTGGAATCGGGCTTGCACTGCGGGCCCTGGGAGGGGAACGCTGTATGGGCATGCGGTACCCCGCACCTCCACCAAAATGTCACGGGTGGTGACCAAAAGAAAACAGGAAATAAACAGGGAGAAATAAACGTTTAATGTGGCGAACTTGTGCCGAAAAATAAAAGGGTGCAAAGATAATAACAGAGCGTCGCGGGCGTCGAAGTCGGCGTAGCAGCACAGTCGAGCGCTGGGGCGAAAACTGACTGCGGCTCGCCACGCGGAGCCCCTTATGTACCATGCGTGGTCTTCTGGAATAATCGGCGTAGAAACTTCGACGCGTAGAACATTCGGGCCTGGAACAAGCAACATGATTCTCGAATTCTCCAGAACACTAAATTGCAGGAATAAACGAAAGACACGTCGCTCCCAGGATTCGAACCCTAGCTTTTCGCATGGGAGGCAGGCGCGATAACCATTAGGCCACGCGCGCGCTGCCTACTTGGCTAGCGCGCGCGGCAATATGATGTTAAAGCTAGCAGGTAGGGAACCGTCGCAGTGGCTGTAGATAAATGGGCTTACCCCACTTGTTTGAACAATTAGCTGCTCGGCCACGAGCATTAAACATCTTTGATGTACGCGATGGCGGCACTTGGCGCAGCGAAATCTGGACTGTCTCCCGAAAAAGACACGGAGACAGATGCAGCATCCGTCCGTACTTGGCGGCATCCCGCCGTTTATTTACGCGTGTACTTCAATTGATAGAAAGGTGGGTCTGTCAAAGCCAGACAAAAGGCTTGTTGGACAGGACCAGTTCCGAACTCAACGTACATCACATATACGCTGTGATACGAGCGATGATGATCACACAAACGCATGTACATACACAGCACACTCCCAAAGTTACACTAATACTAATACAATAATAATAATAATAATAATAATAATAATAATAATATCTTTTTTTTTGCACGAACACAAAACCAGGTACAGACACGGGTTCATCGTAACCATGTTGGGCTTGTATGATGAACACCACCTTGATGAGCATGCTGCTCATGAACTGAAACAGAAAATCGCAAATGCTAACGGGCTTTGTCTCCAAAACACTTAAAGGGGTCCTGAAATGATTTTTCAGCTTTTTCTTTCTTAGCTTTCTTTCTAAACTTACAAATCGCGCATTGTACCAAACGGTTCAAGAAAAGGGAACGGAGGGAATCCTCTCTTGCTCGGACCCTCGTTTGTGTACGCGGACACCGCCATTCAACCCTTAGACAATTAGCACGCATCGCTCAAAACTCGGACAAAATTTATTTGCTCACCCTATTCGCCCCTAAGCTCACAGTGCGGTGGAAGCTACGTGCTGTTGGACCAGACGCACTTTTGCAACGTGATCGCGCTCCCTCGTGCATACCCACCCACAGAGAATGAGGTCAGGTGATGAAAGAAAGGCGGCTGATTGGTCCGGCAAGCACATAGCTTCCACCGCACTGTCAGCTTAGGGGTGAAGGGAATAAGTGAAGTCCGGTGCCGTGTGACGTGCGTTTGGACCGGGTGACGCACTTTGAGTACCGCGGATGTTTCACAGTGAAAAAGGCAGAGAGCTTTCGAAGGGAAGGAGGTACGAAATAGTCCGCTGTGTTTTCAAATTTTCGTAAGATACGTTTTTGAGTTTCTACCTTTTTTCGTTTGGCCCACTAAACAAGATGCTATTAGTGAAATACAAATCTAAATTTATTTATCCCAGCCCAAAACTCGTTTATTGAACCCTTTAAATAAAAAAAATAGTTTAATATGATTACTCAGACTATGTGACACTACATTACCATCAAACCTAAAGCGGGGATACACAGAACATCACATAAATTGTTTTTTTCTTCATCGGTCTTGAGATGGGTTTCAGGAAACAGACTTGATACCTTTCTTTGATTTTGCAGCTACTCCATGTTATGAAGTCTTCGTGAAGCTCATAAAATATCTTTAATAATAATAATAATAATACTAATCAATCAAAGTTTACTATAGTGCCCAGGAACAACCTTTCGGTCTTGGTACCAGCACACTGGATGGAATTGAATACATAAAACACAAACACAGAAGAGCAATGCACTCTACAGTAACTGCATATAATTATGCACAACATACACTGAGCTGAATGACAACAAAATACAATTTCTAGGACTTATGTACAATGATGAGAAATCGCAGTAATGTAGAAACAGGTTTGAGAGGCACTCACAACGAAAAATATACGAAGCAGCAGCTCAAACACAGACCCAACAACATTTGTGCTCTCCGAAATCAATCTTAAAGTGAACCACAATCATTATTCACCCGCCGGATAGGTCTTCGATAGAAATATTAAATTCCCTGAAGCACGGGGTAAAACTATCGAGTTTCTCAGAGTACTGGTAATAACAGTCAGTCTAACGATTGGGCTTAAAAGAATGAAATGTTTGGAATTATGAAATGATGAATTATTTCGAGTAGGCACACGTGGAACCCTAAGGGACACTTTAGACCATAAAAATAACAATACTCTTTCCTTACACATTACAAATGCGTGCAGAACGTCGGCAAAATAACAAATTACACATAAGGCACCCAGTGAGCGTGAGGTTTTGCTACCACAGTATGCGACACTACTTCTCCTTAGATAAATATTTTTGCCAGTACTAAAGGATTGAAGCCAGGGTTCTTTAACTTGTGTGATAGACGACAGCATCCTGGAACTATCATTAACCAGATAAAAACGAGGGGTGGAGCTTAATAGCCGGATCCCTGTGCTCTGCCGTGTAAGTTATGGGCTCTACTAACTCCAAGCTGCGAATCGCCAACCACTACAATCTTTTTAATGGGATAGCAAAGATATAATTGTTAAAAATGTATTTGATTCTGTTTTTAGAGCGCAGCTCTTAGGCGCTCGTTTCTGTTTTTTTGCAGAGTCGGCGTCTCCGTCACCGCCGGCGTAACCGGAGGAGGAGGAGGAGGACGACAAGGAGGGGAGGGTCCTCCTTACCCTCTTCTCCTCTTCCTGATATAATTACTATTATAATAAATACATTATATATATATATAATTCATATTATGTACGCAGGAGTACGAGGTCTATATTTCTATATAAAGATATGTAGTCCTATATTCTTTAGCACGGCATATCCCAAAATCAAAAGACCTCCAAATCTGCGGTCTAATTCCGCATTACAAAGATCTGTAAACATCTTTCTTTTTTTTAAATTACAAGCGGAATATATTTTATCTAGCCTAGCCTCTTCCCTCTAATGTTTGTAATTCGATTTGGGATGTAAAAAACAAAGGTAATTAAAATTGTTAGAGAAAATATTTTGTTTTGATAATAAATAAGACTTAAGGGTATTCCATATGTTATACACAGGAAAACCTTATTTGTCGATTTCCGACGGAACATACGCTAAAACAATTTCACAGATCTTTTTTTAACCTACGTAGCCTGCAGACTTTAAATAAGATCGCGCGAACGCCGACCGGCAGGTAGACCAGCGTATTATTTTGGTGTAAAACAGCAGGCCAGGAAGACTACGCGCGTGTGGCGCAGGGCACACGACTAGACTTGCTAACTTGCTGTTTCGCGCCATAAGGCGCTGATCAACCGGCCAGTCACGTTCGCACGATATTGTTAAAAAATCTGGAAGCTGTACTTTTACATATTTGATATGTCCTGCATTTGAAAGGTCCCTTGATACCCACTAAAACATATGCAAGAAAGCCGTTGGCCCAAACTGTGTAGATGACAATTATGGACAAGGCAAAAAAATTTGAATATATGATAGCGCAAACAACAATTCAGCGCTAATAAGTATGTGACTTGTTTAATTCCGGTACGCAACCAAGTTACACATATTTATTAGCATTTCTATTTTGGCAAGCCACCGCTATAGACTGCTATATTTAATATATACATGTTAATCGTGTCTAGTTTACAATTAGAATAGTTATATAAACTAAAACACTCACCTGAAGGTTTTGATACATGCAAAAAAGTGCACTGTTGTACGCCAGTGGAACATTTGGTACGGCAAAATGTTTAGCTGCCTCTTTGCATTTATCGCTCACGTACTTACTCGGTACATCGGGAAAACAGTCAATGTAATAAGGAGTGATCAATAACTCTATGCATAAGTAAATAACGTTTAGGAAACTCATTCTGTTGGGACTCCAAGCCTGCCTAAGCTTTCTCACACTAGCGATAAAATATTCAGTCCTGCTAAAGGATGGAAAGATACTAGCTGATCCCGATGTTAAATACGTTTTATGCCATAGGACTTCTGTTTCTTGAACTTAGCTTTTTGTTAGAATACATATAGCAGGTGTAGCCTTACAAAAATTGAAGAATAACCTTTCCTGTTAGCCCACACGGGCTAACAAGAAAGGTGATTTATCATTTTATTCAGACTGCATCTGCTATGTGTATGCTTCCAAAAATCGAAGATCGAAAAATGGAAATCGTCAGAGTCAGCTTAACAACTTGCACAGAATGGTGACCTTTTGTGTGGGTATGGAACAGTTTAATGCCAAGATACACAGCGTGGCAAGACCTTCAATTGTCACTTCAATTCTATTTGAAAAAAAGCGAAAGAGCACTTTGGTTAAAATATGACAAGATATTTATGAGCAACCATATGAACGCGGAAAGCGTCTAAGCACGATATAGTTTTTTTCTTGTTTTTTTTTAAATTTAAGTACACTGAATAGTGTTCGTGCGTTATGCTCTGCTGAATAACGTTAAGGATAAAAATGTGAATATCAGCAAGCGTACTTTAGCGTACTCGAAACGCGTCTACATGATTATGGTAAAAACAGCGCTATAAGACAAGGACAAATAGAAGGATCGTACACAACTGTACAGGCGCTGAACCACAACTATAAATTAGAATAAAACGAAGACAAAATAAAAAAAACCTCCACACGTGCGCCCGGCCAACACCACCTAGACAGAAGGCGTCCGCATGGTTTCCTCTTCCTCTATGAAACGTCATCACAGTCGGATCGCGCTCGGTCGGCTATTGGACGCGAGTCCGACCTTCGACGCGCTGATTGGCCACGAGCCGCAGCCGAACACTGATGCAGCACTCGTGCCCAATCTCTCGCCTCGATCGATCTGACTATGATGACGCGTGTGGAGGCCTTCTGTCTAGGTGGTGTTGGCCCGGCACACAGCTCCCATCGTAGCAGTCGCCTCTACTCCGTTTCACCATATGTTGTACCGCAGCGAATGCTAGACGCGCGAGCTCATAGCGTTGGCAGCTGCCCTTAATGCACGACAGCTTCTGTCGCCGATATCTGTATCAGAGCAAGGAGCTCGCGCTTGTAGGCTTTCTTGCGGTACGTCATAAGGTGGAATGGAGTATAGTTCATGGTGGCACGTGCGGAATCTTCATCGTTATGCACTGTAGGAATCAGTGGGCAGCTAAATTCATACACGCTCCGCACCTGGCCTACAGGTTCCCAGAATGCAACTCTCAGGGTGACTGATTTATGAAAGTAGTCTATTCACTTCACAGAGTGCCTGTGTCAACCGTCTTTTAACAAATCCATAATTATAGGTAGGCGTAAAAAAAAACAAATAGAAATTTAAACTATTTTTTTTATAATGCCAAAGACCCGTGATTTACACATTCGCTTCCTCCGCTGATGATGTGGTAGGCCTCTATAAATTACCGAGTTGTCTTGTTTTTACGCCTACCTATAATTATGGATTTGTCACATGTGTGACAGATGTGTCACACATGTGACAAATGACACAGACATTAAAATGTCACAGACAAGCCGTAGCAGATTAAGGTTTTGTAAATTAGAAAAACAAATTCTGCAAAAAATCTACAGACTTTCAAGTTCAATGATCGCATATCTTAAACTTTCCTTCGTAGAAACAAATATTTCGTGGAGAGTTATTTTTTGCAAACAATGCAAACGTAATTTTCCTCTTACGGCAGACAGTCGGATTATTTACCGTCTACGTTTCAACACTCACAAAGGAGTGAAACTAAAGTGCCTTAATGTCAACATTTACGCATCGTAGAAAGATCCCAGCAATCACACTGAAAATGTCGAAAACAAGTGTATGACCTTTCTACTAGAAACCCGTCAATGTAATAGGGGTAGGCTCACGCGTTTCTGGTAAATACCGATAAAACACACAAAAAGAAACACGTCGGACAAGAACTTCAAATCTCAAATCGAAGCTTTCCTTTATTAAAAAAAAAAAAAAAAAAAAAACAAAGCGTTTGGTTCTCTTTTACTACTGACCTCGCTTTATGTGCTTCGTTTCTGCCAAAGCGTGACACGTGGCCAGAGGCGTCGGAACAATTCAGGAGATTGGGCGTCAGTGATATTCCCTGTCCTGCGACGGGGAACCAGAGATAGGGTGTTTGAAGAGAAAAAGAGGCCCGGCAGCGCGCAGTGTAGGATGGAAAGCGGAAATGAAGAGTACTGTATTTTAGAGCGCAGCTCTTAGGGGCCCGTTTCCGGCTTGAGCGGCGTCGCCGTCGGCGTCGGCGTCGGCGTAACCGCGCGGTGCATCATGGGAAATGTCCCATAATGCACCGCGCGAGCCCCCCACCAAGGTCACGTGACCTCGTGGGGGGTCACGTGACCCCCCGAAGTCACGTGGCCCCCTCCTCGAGGTCACGTGACCCCCGCCGATGTCGCGTGACCCCCCGATGACGTCATCGTCACTGATGACGTCACCGGCATCCACATCGTCATCGTCATCATCACTGATGACGTCACCGGCATCCACATCGTCATCGTCATCATCACTGATGACGTCACCGGCATCCACATCGTCATCGTCATCACTGATGACGTCACCGGCATCCGCATCGTCATCGTCATCATCACTGATGACGTCACCGGCATCCACATCGTCATCGTCATCATCACTGATGACGTCACCGGCATCCACATCGTCATCGTCATCATCACTGATGACGTCACCGGCATCCGCATCGTCATCGTCATCATCACTGATGACGTCACCGGCATCCACATCGTCATCGTCATCATCACTGATGACGTCACCGGCATCCACATCGTCATCGTCATCATCACTGATGACGTCACCGGCATCCACATCGTCATCGTCATCATCACTGATGACGTCACCGACATCCGCATTGTCATCGTCATCATCACTGATGACGTCATCAGTGACGTCACTGATGTCGTCACCGGCATCCGCATCGTCATCGTCATCATCACTGATGACGTCATCAGCGACGTCACTGATGACGTCACCGACATTCGCATCGTCATCGTCATCATCACTGGTGAAGTCATCAGTGACGTCACTAATGACGTCATCGGTACCCGCATCGTCATCGTCACTGATGACGTCATCAGTGACGTCAGTGATGACATCATCGGCATTGGGGGTCACGTGACCCCAAGGTAACGTGACCCCCCCCCTGGTTAGTTTAACCCCCCCCCCCCCCCCAGTGCCCTTCCCTCCTCCTCCTCAAGAGCTGCGCTCTAATTTGGCGTTACAGGGAGTTGTAAGCGGCTTTCATTTTTCGAACTATAGCCTTCAGCTTGTGCATACATTACCGGAACCCGTGATATCCCCTGTATGAGCCACGGTAAGCGCGCCACGTGCGACTGTCGCAATCGCTCGAGGAACAAAAAAAGTTGGCGATTTCTGATAAACAAGTGTTCCGGCAATCGTTTCATAGGCATTCCCGAGACAAAGCAGCTGCAAAAGCCAGTAAAAGAGGGCAGGAGATGAAAGAAAGACTTAACAAAACTAACATCAGTAATGAAGCCAGAGTTTGCCCCTCGCGCAGCTGGCAAAGTAAGCAGCGCGGCCGTCGCCTAACGGCTATCGTGCTTGCCATTCACGCAAAAAGTCAAGGTTCGATTCCTGGCCGCGGGTGCACATTTTTGTTAACTCTGTAACGTGATGTTCTGGTACATTCGAGAACCGTGTTGCTGATTCGAGGTTAGAATGTTGTACGCGCCGAACCTTCTACGACGATTGTTCCAAAAGCCCACGCGTGTACAAACAGCGCTCAGCGTGGCAAGCCGCAGTCAATCTCGCCCCAGCGTTCGACTCTGCTGTTACACCGACTTCGATGCCCGCCACTCTCTGCTGTTATCTTCTGTTTCCTTTTTATTTTGGGGCCCAAGTTCGCCCCATTAAACGTTAGGTTTTTTCAGTTATTCTTCGTTTCCTCGCCTGTTCATTCGTGACAATATTATCTACTTTTTCGGAATGTATATACAGGGTGATACAAGGAGACGCCAGGCTCTTTAAATCGACCGGAAAATTCAATTTCTCAACCTATCGCGCTACGACTTTGTGCAGCGTTGCCCACAGATGGTGCATTCTTTTTTTTTTTTTTTTTTGTAAAATTTGCAAAGAGCGAACTTATTTCAGAAAAAATAAAGAAAGAAAAAGGCTCAGCTCGTATGGAAACGCAGCGAAGACACCGGTCTGCAAACAACACGGCGCCGTTTCGCACGGGAGACAAGAGATTGCGCAAGCGGTCGCAATGCCAGCTGCCGCCAACGAACGAGCAGACGACGCCGAGAGCCGGCGTATTTAGCAGACAAGAAACTGCAGTTCCTTGTTACCGCGCCTGTTTTTGTTTCTGGGACTGTCGCTGCCTGCGGAACGCGCGCCGCTTTTCAGTCGAAAAGATTGTCTGCTAAAGACGCTTTAGATAGGCCTTAGTGCTAGGTGCCTTGAGGTATACTCAGTATTTTTTTTTAATCGGCCAATAATAGCTCGGCGATTTGACATGCATCAGCGCTACCCCTGCGCAATAAGCAAACGAACTTGCACTCCGCATTGACTTAGAAAATGGACTAGCGCAACCTTAACTCGGAGATTAGTCCCAGGTAACGTGAGGCATAAAATTAGTATGTCGATATGCGCGGCTGCTTCAGACACTTTGCAACTGTCAATCATAATACGTGCTTGAAGTCAGTAACAAGTTTTTTTGTAAATTTTTACTAGAATAAGCGCGCGCTTTTTTATTTCTGAACATGACGTAGACATCGAGTTACACGCAGTATAACATGTTCTCAGCGAAAAAGCTGCACGAAAAAAGCACAAGCAAAATTATATAATTTAATTCAAATTAGCAATATAGGTTCCTTAACAAAACTTTTACTGAGTGTTTTTTAGTATACAGAAATCCTAT